ATGACACACATCTTCTACTTAGTGTAAGTAATCAGTTCTAACATTATTCTAAGAATCTTATTAACTAGTTCTGAGTAAAGAGCTTTTTCAAGTATTCTAATAAGAACATTATTAAACCTGAGTATAAATCCTATCTTTTAGGCTAGGATATTAAACTCCTAAAAGAAGGTATTAGTAGAATGTTTGTCCTGTTACAGAGACACAAGCTTGTTTTATATATTATACTTCTTATTTAGATTAATAAAGAAAGTACAGAGCTACCTTATAAATTCCAAATATAACTTATTATTCTAAAGTCAGATCAGACTTCTAATCTGATAGCTTTCAATCTAGTTTTAGGCCTAGGTAGCTATATTACCTTCCTTTATAAAAGAGAGGACAAATAGAACATAATTAAGATTTAAGAATAGATTAGTCAAAGTAGTAGTTATGTATAGTTTGACTTAGTACTAAAAGTCCTTAAAGTGTTACTTATTAAAGTCTAAAGGGTAAGCTACATACACTTTCTTTCTAGAATGGGTTACAACTTTTAGAACAATTAAAACAGGTTCTAAAGAGGTTAAGAGTACATAGTTAGTAAAAGCCTCTTAAATAGAAGTCTGTATATATTAAGCTAGATCTGCTTGTAACTACTAATCTGACAGAATAGTAGGGGTGACAGTTAGTGTAGAAGAGTCTATGTTTATACTATAAAGGAATCAGTACTAAACTAAAAAAGGTAATGAATAGAAGAAGGGTGGTAAAAGTTTAAAAGGGTTTAGAAAGTTTAAAATTTAAAAATGTAAAAAGGTTAGGACAAAGAAAAGAGATTAATATAATAGTAAGTACTAATACTCAAAATGTAAGAGAGTTGTAGGGTAGTAATAAGTAGTCTTAATCTAATGTTAGTAACAGTATAAAGAGGACTTAAAGGCTTAGTAAGAGGACCTAGACTATAACTATTCTACATAATAGAAATACAGAATATAAGTATTAGAATATAGTCAAAACTTGTAGAACAGGTAGAGAGAGAGAGTAAGACAAGAGTAGAGTATATAGAGTAAGCTTAAGAGTACAGAACTAGTCTAATCTTGTACACTTATATATACTATAGTATTTGACAAAAGTATTACATATTAGTATTTTACAAACTTCTTTCTTTATTAAAATTATTATTATATTAGCTTATATTAAATAAATACTGTATTATTAAAGTAGACCTTGTGTATATAATGTTAGTATAATAATTAGACTTAATACCTACTTATAATAATTAATATACTTTAATTTAAGAAAAAGTGTCTGTATATTTCTTTTAATTACTTTTAATAATTTTATTATATTACACATTTGTATTAAAAAAACTTGTTATATTAATATAGTGATTTAGTATTTAGTATACTCTCCTTAAGCCTTTACTAATACATTAACTTGTCTAAGCATACTAGTATACAAACTTGTAATATACTCATTATCTATTTAGTACTATTCCTCCTATAAAATCCTCTACAATTCATTAATGTTCCTTAGAAGTGGATTTCAAGCTTGTACTTTATTGTTAAGATAGTGTCAGACATATTTAATAATGTTCATGTCTAGGCTCAAAGGGGCCTAATTGAGAAGTTTGATTTATTTTTCTTATAGCTATTTTAACATTACTTAAGATTTATACTTCAGATCTCTATCCTACTAAAAGAGAAACTTGGCACATAGAATGTTGTAGTCAGAAAGGGTGTTAAGAAGTGATTTGTTAAGGATTTGGATGTATTAGCTAGAGTCCATATTCTTTTCAATGTAATGAAGACAGTCAACACTATGTGTAGTAATACATTCCTAAACTATAAGATGTTTACTATTATGCTTGATAACCTTCTTTACATTCTTTGTATAGAGTGACTCCCCCTCCCTCCTGTACATAATATTCCTTCTATCCTGCTTGAATAGATTGATTTTTGTCTTGTCTGAGAAAATAACCTTTTCCTACTTTTTAAGAGTCTAAAACTAATGTTTACTAGCCTAATATCTCCTGTAAGTAATATGCTTCTTAAACAAGTATAGTTTAATGAGAGGGACACAGGCTACTATTTTATATTCTTTAAGAGTACAACAAATAGTTTGTATAGAATCAGACAGGAAGTACTTGTGTTTAAGGTTGCTAGAATCCTTTACTTTGTCTAAAGTAAGTAAATAAGTAGTGTAGCATACTTTATAAATGTTGAATTTGTGTAGACAGTCTAGTTTGAGTTTGACATAGTATGGGTTAGGGTTTTTGAGCAGCTTGTAGTAGTTCCAGGAGACTGTCAATGTATTACAACTGAGTTTTTGTACAATTTCAATGTTACTCAATCTTTGACTCTTCTAGTCTAAGATATGTTACTTTTTTGTTAGTATAAGATATGGAGCCATTTTAGCAGATCTAGAGTAGTCTGAATTGAGCAAAAGACAGAGTATTATTAATAGTAATAGAGTACTAGTATAGTACAATGTTTTACAGTATAGTATGACCAAAAAAAATACACATAACCATTTGTACAATCTTACAAGTTTTCTCCTATTTTAGAATATATATAGTTATTTTTTTAACTCATTTTTTTTACTATATTATATAGTAAATAATAGTACTTATATCTTATAATTATAGTTCTTAGTTGTCTGTATATAATCTTTTTAAATTAATAGATTAGGTCTGTACAATACTTTTGTTAAATACTGTAAACTATACAAGAGTACTCAGAGAGTATGAGCTACTAAGAATAATAAGCTATAAAGAATGAAAGAAAGGAAGGTCAAAGATAAAGGTACAAAGAATGAAAGGATAGACAAAGGGTAAGAGACTATAGAATGAACAAAGAATGAAGGAGTGGTCAAAGGAATAGAATAATAAAGTAAGAAAGGGTAGTAGTAAGAGTTAGTACACATATAGTTTATAGATAGTACCCCTAATAGACAGAAGTCCTGAGTTCCAGTATAGAAGGGTGCAAAACCCTTGGAACTGAAAGTACAAGAGTAGAGAACTGTAACAACACTGTTTTTCATGTTTTCTTAATATTTGAATTTTCATTCCTTCAAAACTCAACATATAAGTTTGGAAAACAGTTTATTATAATT